GAAGAGAAGGAGCAAAGAAGCCCAGACGGAGCTAGAGAATCTCTGATCATGGTTCAGGGCAGGTTGCAACAGACTTTGTATACTGAGCAAAGAAACTCTGGCCTGTTGTTTGGTTTCAGCGGTGTTCAGGGAGACAGGACTTTGCACCTGCTTTGTACTTAATAAGGTTTGCATCACAGAAAGCCAGAAGCGCCAAAGTTAATTGTGTGTGCCCACGGTGAGATACTCGATATTTACTTGATATTGCCCCACTTATAGACACAGGGTCACGTTTACACACTTAGCTGCAGCATCTTCAATCATTCTCTCCTTCTAACAGAAACAGCCCACTTGGCCTGAATGTTGGCTAACTGCTCAGGTCAGAAAGAGGTCACCCCAATAACAAGTCATGTACCCGGGGCAAACGGGATTCCTTGGAGTGGCCTAGCACCGAAGTCTGAGGTGGGGGGGCTGGTAAAACTGTCCCTGAGGATGCAGCCAGGGCCGGATTAAGACATGGGCTAGCCAGGCAGCTGCCCGGGGTGCCAACCTATGGGGCATAGTGCCCCCTTAGAGCTGCCATCAAGCACCGCGCACCCGGCTCCCAGATCGCAGGCTGCAGCAGCTCCCAGCAGCCACCCTGCAGCGGCCGCCCGGGGCGGGGGCTGCGTTAACCCCCATGGTGCCAGCCAACAGTGCCCTTGCCCCAGGGGGATGCTAGACTGGAGCACAGAAACTGGAGATGGGCCCTGCTGTTTAGCTCCATTTGCAGGTCCTAATCAGACCACCTGCAGAGTTTGTGGGAGTGGATTTGAGGTTTTGGTTTAAGATCTAAACTCCCACAGAGTCTCAATGTAGGGTCTCTGCTTCTGAGACCGAAAGCGCAAGAGATACCAGAAAGGATGCTCCAGAATGTGACTGAGGGGGAGGGAAAGAAGCTCAGTCTGGGGTGGATGAACCACCTAACCATGAAGAGGCAGGAGGCGGAGCTGTTGGCCTTTGTCAGAAGTTTCAAGAAGGTGAATGTGGAGTCCAGATCTGGTGCGTATCCAGGCCCTTACACAGGCAGACTGACTGAGCAGCTGGGCCAGGGCACAGACAGACCCAGGATAGACTTTGGCAAAGTATGCTGTGAAGTTCAATGCTCTAGTCAAGAGCTTCAGAGGGGTTGCCACGTTAGACTGTAACTGGAAAAACTTAAAAAACAACAAATAGTCTAGTGGCATCTTAGGCTATGTCTATGTAACCCACACACTGGGGGTATGTCTACACCTGCTCCCTAGTCCGAACTAGGGATACAAATGTAGCATACCGAAGTTGCTAATGAAGCACGGGATTTAAACATCCCGCTCTTGATTAGCATATTCATAAAAAGCCGGTAGTCCGAAATAACTTGCCGCGTGTAGACGCGGTATTCCAAGAGAAACCCTTCCCTCGAATTAACTGTTACTTCTCTGCATCTAGACCACAGCAACAGTTAAGACCAAGAGATATCTACAGCATGGGCTGGGAGGCCGCTAGCTTTTAGCTCAGAGGGTAGAGGCTCCTATACTGAGGTCCCAGGTTTAAATCTGACTGGTGGTGGTTATATCTTCACTGCACTCTAAACTTGAAATAAGAAACACAATTTGTGCTACGCAAATTGCGTACTTATTCTGAGTTTACCTTGAAATAGGCTATTTTGAAATGTGATGCTGTCTATACAGCAGCACATTTCAAAATAAAGTGCTATTTTGAGACATCGCTTAACCCTCATGGAATGAGGGTTACAGAGATGCTGAAATAGTGTGCATGTTATTTCAAAAAATATTTTTGAATATTTTGAATATTCAAATATTTTGAAATAACGGGTGGCTTGTGAAGATGCAGAAGAGCTATTTCGGGATACCTCCAGGAGGCGTAAGGATCTTGCACAAAAAGGGGGCATGTAGTGTAGACAGAGCCTTAGGATATGTCTACACTTGATTTCTCCTTCGAGGGAGGAATGAAAATGTCGACATCTGAAATTGCAAATGAAGCGATGATTTAAATATCCCACACTTCATCTGCATAATTGCAGACTGCCACTATTGCTAAATAGTGCTATTTCGGGACATCAACTTGGTCCCCGTGGGGTTATTTCGAGAGAAAAACCTTTCCCTCAAAAAAACCCCTACACCTGTAGTGCTCCCACTACATACAGCTTCTCCTGTTAGTAACATGCTGTTGATAACTGGGCTTTGAGTACTAAACCAGTTGTGCAAAGCTCTAGAAGTCCCAGGTTCAAAACTGCATGGTGGCAGTTACACAAATAGTGGCCTGGTATTTAGAAGTAGCAGTTGGGGAAAGGAGGGGCTGGGGTGCCAGAGGCAGGCTCTGGATGGGAGGCGCTTACCAGCAGAAACCTGAGACAGACGGTCTGCTGCAGGCTGCTCACTGCTCCACGTGGCTCTGCTCTGGGCATGAGAGAGAGGGGGAGGGCATTGAGGCAGGAGGGAGAAGGATTCCTACACTGCCCCTGCTTAGGGTTGCCAGGTGTCCAGTATTCAACCAAACAGTCCATTTTTTGTGCCCTCTGTCTGGTAAAAAAATTCAGCAAATACTGGACATGTGCAATGACCGGTATTTCCTGCTTTTCCAGCTGGGCACCCCACAGATGCCTGGCGGGGACAGGGGAGTGGCTGGGGAGGCGGGGCCACAGTCAGCGCTGGGAGCCCTCAGCTCAGCTGGTTGCATGTGGAAGCCTGGTGGGGGCGGGGGGAGTGGCTGGGGAGGCGGGGCCACAGTCAGCGCTGGGAGCCCTCAGCTCAGCTGGTTGCATGTGGAAGCCTGGTGGGGGCGGGGGGAGTGGCTGGGGAGGCGGGGCCACAGTCAGCGCTGGGAGCCCTCAGCTCAGCTGGTTGCATGTGGAAGCCTGGTGGGGGCGGGGGGAGTGGCTGGGGAGGCGGGGCCACAGTCAGCGCTGGGAGCCCTCAGCTCAGCTGGTTGCATGTGGAAGCCTGGCGGCGGGGGCGGTGGGAGTGACTGGGGAGGCGGAGCCGTGATCGGTGCTCTGACCGAGAGCTCCCAGTGCCAATCGCGGCCCCGCCTCCCCAGCCACTCCCCCCGCCCCCACCAGGCTTCCACATGCAACCAGTTGAAGGCTCCCCATGGGAGCAGGTAATTAATTTCCTCCCCTGCTGCCCAGTCCTCCTTGGGAAGTGTAAATTACTTCACCCCTTTTCATCAGACAGTCTACCCTCTGCTCAGAGCCCAGCCAGACATTCCGGCCCGGGAATGGGGGCACAGTACGGCTCCTTCCACTTTCTGTTCACAGATTTTCAGACATATTATCCACTTCTTGTCATGGCCAGAGTATGGGCCAGGCTCAAATCCCCCTTTATTCCCCTCCACAGCTGAATAAAGGCTCCGAGGGGCTAGCACTGCCTGGCAATAGGGTTGCCAGGAGGGAGGCCTCAGCAGGTTGCATGTTAGGAGGTTCATGTAGTCAAAATATAAGGTGGAGGCTGTTGATTGTTTATAATAAAGTCCCCATTCAGTGTTAAGCATAGTTGTGGTGGGGTTTTTTGTTTCTTTGTTTTGCTCAACAAATGTTTAGCACGTGTGTTCGGTATTTTTTGGGAAACCATCTGGCACCCCTACCCCTGCTCCCAGCACAAATTCTCTGATCCTGAGACAAACTGAGAGATTGGCCATTGGGAGCTAAGAGATTTTGCTGGGGGTTAGGAACAGCATGAGAAGTCTCCCTTCTCCCTCCCCAGCCATCTGGAATAGAGAACAGCTGGCTTTTTAAAATGTGACCTGATCTCTATCTAAAGGTTCCAGTGAGGTGGCTGTGGGTCAGATCTGGTGGCTTGGTGGGCCGGATCCAGCCTGCTAACAGCCTCTTGCCCACCCTGCTCTATGACATTACTGATAAAGGTATTTAATAGATAAATCACTGATAAAGGTATTTAATAGAACCAGACCTAATAGTGACCCTGCAGAACTCCACTTGGTTTGCCCATCCAGCATGAACTACTGATAATTACTTTCTGGGAATGGTTTCCCAATTAGTTATGCACCCACTTCATAATAACTCCATCTGGCTTGTATTCCCTTAGGTTTTTTTTATGAGGGGGTCATGAGAGATAGTACCAAAGCCTTACAATAATAAAAATATATCACATCTAGAACTTCTCCCAGCCCACAAGACTTCTTACCCTATCAAAAAGAGCTACTAGGTAGATTTGACACAATTTGTGCCTCACAAATCTATACCTTATCACTTCATTGTCTTCTAGATATTTGCAAGCTATTTACTTAATTATTTGCTCCATTATCTTTCAGGGTTCTGAAGTTAAGGTGACTTAATTATTTGCTCCATTATCTTTCAGGGTACTGAAGTTAAGGTGACTACTCTATAATTCCCTGGGTTATCCCAATTTCCCTTTTTATAGGTGGGCACTATGTTTTATGTTTCCTGGAATCTCGCCTATCTTCCATGACATTTTGAAGATTATCTCTGTCTGATAATAGTTATCTCCTCATTCATCTTCTTGATTATTGTAAGATGTACTTCGTCAGGCCCTAGCAACGCGAAAACTTTTAACTTGACTAAGTAATTTGTAACTTGTTCTTTCCTTAAATAAACTTCTGAACCTACCTGATTTTCACTGACATTCACTATCATAGACTTCCAGTTCCTACTAATGTTTTTGGTGAAAATTGAAACAAAAAGTATTTAGCATTTCTGCCTTTTGCACATTTTCTGTTGATTTCTTTCCACCTGACTAACTAACAGACCTGCCCTGTACTTGGTCTTCCTCTTGCTTTACTGTATTTGTAGAACGTTTTCTTCTTACCTTTTCTGCTTCTAGCTAGTTGAATCCCATTTTGTGCTTTGGCCTTTCTAATTTTGTCCCTATAAAGAACCCAACTCTGATTGGCTTGAAAAGCAAGCGATTTTTAAAAAATTGATCCTTATATTTCAAACACTAGAAAACAAAGAAAAGGATGCAGAAAACATATCTTTCAATACATCTTATTAATGTTAAGGCAGACTTGGGATTTAGGAGGGGATGATTTTCAGCTACTTTGCGTTCGCTGTGGAATTGCTCCATGGAGCTGAGAGGAATTCAGAGCTGAGCTGTGGATATACAGAGTCAGGGAGTAGGAATACAGAGTCTGTGTATTTTCTATTCAGATGAAGCATTTTTTCCAAAAGGCAAACAGGTTGCCTATGCTCTGAGACTATTCCAGTGCCCAATAGCACCTGGAGGTGCTGTGCATTGCCCAGCTGTGGCACTAGAGAAGGTTCTCCTCTTCATTGCTGTGCAACCTCTGTGGTGGCCTCTGATTTGTGGCTGTGCACTGATGAGCTCTTCATTCCAGCAACTGGAGCATTAATGACACCTCTCCCGCCGCACGACCATTTCCACATACGTTGATGTCTCTTCCGACTGGGGTGGTGGATCCTTTCGGACAAAACGTGGACATGTTACTTTTCTGCTCAACAAGCACGAAGCCAGAAAAAACGAAGCCAGGAAAACGTTTATCAGACAGTCCTGATGTGAAAAATCAGAAGCAGTTCTAATGGGCATCTAGGATGGGAAATACCAACAACCCCACTTCCTACATAATCTCTTCTGTGGCAGGTAGCTCTGATTTCACCCTCCCCAGCCTTGGTCTGGCCCATTTCTGCTCCCAGGTTAGGACAGCTGGGCTTTGCACTGACACCTGCCAGCTGCGGAGAAGAGCTCTTCTCTCGCCCTCCATGCCAGCAGCTCCACTGAGGTAGTGCCGGGTTCTCCCTGTGATGGGGTATTATTATCAGATCTATGGATTCTTCTGTGCTGCTGGTGGTTTCATTTTTTTCTCTTCAGTTTCATACTTTAATCACTGATGTTGTTAATGGTGATATATACAGAGGTTATTTGCACTTGTTATTAGAGTTTTGTTATGATGGAGATTGCGTCTCTATCTATGGGCAATTGTGACACAATCCTGAAGTTGGTGACTATGATAAGCGCCTGCCATTCATGTTAAATAAGGAAACAATTAAATGCCCCTTTACTTAGTTTTTGCCAGGGATATGTGTGTGTGTGTGTGTGTGTGAGAGAGATAGAGAGAGAGAGACAGACAGACAGACAGAAGGAGCAGAATTAACTCAAAAGCAACTAAAGAAGGCAAAAAGAAATACAGACGCTGCCAGAGAAGTGATTAGAGCAGGTCACCGAGGAAAAAAAAACTGAGAGAGCTTTGGGGCATAGTGCTACTGGGAAGCTTGGACCTGGAAGCAAAGAATAGTGTCTCTTGGGGTATGTCTACACTACCCCGCTAGTTCGAACTAGCGGGGTAATGTAGGCATACCGCACTTGCAAATGAAGCCCGGGATTTGAATTTCCCAGGCTTCATTTGCATAAGCGGGGAGCCGCCATTTTTAAAACCCCGCTGGTTCGAACCCCGTGCAGCGCGGCTACACGGGGCTCGAACTAGGTAGTTCAAACTAGGATTCCTATTCCGAACTACCTATGGTAGTTCGGAATAGGAATCATAGTCCGAACTGCCTAGTTCG